TGTATCTTCAGTTAGATCTGTTCCCAGCTTCCTGAGGAACTATCACATAATTTCTATATTAGCTGTAAAGGTTTCTACTCCCATTAGTTCTTCTTCCCTAACAGTCCTAGCCAGCATGATTTGCCACTTGCTTTATTGATCTTAGCCATTAGGTCTGGTATAAAATGAAAATTCAAAGTAGTTTTGTTTTTAATTTCAATCATGAATAATTATTTTGAACGTTTCTTTAAGTGACTGTCAGCCATTTATGGTTTATTGTTTTTTCATTATTTAGAGAATACTTTATTAGTTTTTGCAATCAAACCCATGTAGATAAGACCTGTCATACTACAGGGTGTTACCCCAGTACAAATGGAAAAAAATTAAGTTCAACATTTCTGCACCAATATAATTGATAATTTCTGTAGAATGCCAACTCAACGTGGTAAACTGGGACACTTTTCCCAAAGTTAGCAACAAAGCTAAAATTTCCAAAAATTCAGAATATATGTATATAAATATATATATGCATTTATATTTATGCAAAGACCAATAATAGCAGTATGTTGTGCATCAACAGCAGCAACAGCTTTTCCAGGTTCTGCACTCATTTGAACAAAGTTGGAAAGACATCCAGTACACTCCATTAAAAAAAAGGAAAAACCAAAATCCCAGAAAACAGTATAGTTATGTTACACTGGTGGTACCTGGAACCATTTGTTGTTGTTTTTTTTAAATTAGCTTATTGATCATCTTCTGGAAAGAAAACATTCTGAGAAACATCATTAAAAATAGTTCTGATAAAGCACGTTCACTGCTACGTATCATAAAGCAGGTACAAGCATGAGGATGGTCCATCAGGGCTTCTAGAAGTTTCTTTGAATCACTGTCCACTTTCTGGGCTTTGACTTCTCTCTGCTCTGTTTCTGCTCAGAGAAGAATCATTGTGTGGACTGAAAAATCTTTGCTCTCTGCTTTGCCTTCATATCTTGTTCAGCTTTCAACAAAGCCTGGGTCAGATTTTTATATGTTCTTGGCCCTATTTTAATTGGATTATTTGTTTTCATTATGTACAGATTTATTCCTTTGCTTTTTATATAGCTTAAATATTATCCCTCTCTTGGTTATTAAGTTGATGTTGAACATTTCCCATTCTGTATACGATCACTTTGTTTTAAAGAAAGTATCCTTTTCTATAAAGAAAATTTTCAGTTTCATGATGTGCCATTCATTAATATTTTTGTGTCTGTACAATCAGTGCACTCTTTAAAAATGCCTTTTCTTTTGCAAATGAGTCAAATACTACTTCTATTTCTATAAGATTTGGAATATTTGGTCTTATTTTAAGGTCTTTGATCCATTAAGAGTTAAGTTTTGTATGGGGTAATAAGTATGAATCTATGCTCATTCTTTTGCATGTAACCATAAAGTGTGACCAACACTGTTCAAGCCACTGTCTTTTTTTCACACGTGTATTTATGGCTTCTTTGCCTAAAATCATGTGTCCATGGATGTTGTCTGTGTCTTTAGTTAGATGCCATTGAGCAATGTATTTATTTTTCAGGTCAATACTATGCTCTTTCTATGAATTAGCTCTGCAGAACATCAAACTATGGATATTGGTAGCTCTAGTAGTTCTTTTATTATTAGGATTGTTTTAGCAATCCTAGGTCTTTTTGTTTTGGCATTTTCCGTTTAAAATTGTCCCCTGAATTTCAGTGAAATTTGTAGTTTTTTCAACAATAATATATAGTTAGATGTGCTGGGATTAATAGGACACAGTTACCTAATAGTCTTAAACTTGATTAAATATAAAATGAAAGCTGGGCAGTGGTGGCACACGCCTTAAATCCCAGCACTCTGGAGGCAGAGGCAGACAGATCTCTGTGAGTTCGAGGCCGGGCTGGTCTGATAGTTTACGAGAAACTCTGTCTCGTAAAACCAAAACAAAAATATATAAAATGAAAAGCTCAATGTCATTTAGTATGTTTAAATCCTAAATATAGCCTTAAGTATGGTTGTTAAACTTCAGCTACTGCAATGAACTAGAACATTGTTCATAGATAAAACAAATTTCATAGAGAAAACAAAAACAGAAAAAATACAACACTAAGGTGACTCAAGAAAATCAAGAGTATAAATGTGTTCAAAAACATTAAGATAACTAAAACTAAAATCTTGGGATGAACATTTCTGGGTGATTAGTGTGTTGTATAACTCCCATTGACACTCTGGCAATGTTTAGTATATTATCAGTGTTCAAAGTAAAGAGCTGAGTACAAGAAAATATGGGACAAAGTCTTCCTGAGGAACTTTAAATTTTTGGTAATATTATCACAACTAGATGATCCTAATGATAAAAGTTATTAATTTAATCATTGCTATAAGACTATGAATCATTTTGAAACATTCTATAAGAAGGGAGCTTACAATGGAATGATTGGGTTCTACTGGCTTGATTTAAGAGGTTTTATATGTACATTTCAGTGAAGGAAATTTTGCTACACGTTTAACAATGTGTGTGTAATATTAGTTTATGGTTAGGACACATAGTAAGGATAAAGAATAACGTTAGATTTTCTGGCATTTAGCTTCTGTATAAGCAAGCTCTTTTTTCCAGAGAGTATGCTTAGTACAGAGATTTCCAAAAGGGAAGAAAAGTGATTTATTTGATAATAGTCCTATCTTTCAGTACAAGAATTTCCTGGAACAAACACTTAAGTTATATTGTCATAAGAGGTAAAAGTTCTCAGTAGTGAGATACAATTCAAAGAGTAAAAAGCTATTTCACTGTAGGAAGTGCTCTGAGATTCAGCTCACATTAAATCATCCCCAGATACTTGTAGACCATTTGTTATGTGGTCCATACAGAACAAAATTCTGTTTTCTATATACACATTAAACAGGAAGTCTATATGTCCACTGTTCTTATAGTCTGGTATAAGCCACTGTCAGGTGACAAAGCATTTACTGTACCATTCCATTAGTGTTAGATACCTCAGGGCCAGAAGAAGAACAGTGACAGTTACTCAGGGCAAAAACACATAACCCAGATAAGTAGGATACTCAGAGGTAACTTGGGGAAAATAATGAAATGAATCAGAATTGGAATGAATGCAAAGTGACAACTAAGGCATAATTATAAAGACAGTCTGAGGACAGAGTTTTACATAAAGATAACTTGTAGAACAGCATGTTAGTTCAATTATTGTTTTAGAATTAAAAAGAAAAGATAGTTTCTCCTACCTAGAACATTAAAACGATATACTCCTGGGCACCATATATGTATGTTGCTCTAAATTCAAGTTTTGAAGTCCCAGCCTACCATGTGATGATATCAGGATGATGACTGACAGGAAGTGATTAAGTATTGGTAGTGAACCTTACATAATATAGTGCCTTTGTGTAAGCAAACAGTTGCGACAAACAACCCCTCAGACATTCGTATGGAGAAATCAAGAGAACCTAACATTATTTTTACTCTGATCTCCAACATCCTGTGTTCAAAATTGTAAGAAATAAATATTAGCCACTTAGGTAGCCTGTCTTACAGTGTTTTTCTTATCAAAGACTGAATGCATTGTAATTAAAGAGGCAATTTTGTTAGTTTCAATTTTTCAAAATTATTTGTAGTACTTACCTGTAACCAAATGTCTAACTTACCAAATGATTAATTTACCTGACACGAAAATAAATTTACATGGTGTATGTACATGGAAATAAGTTTTGTTTGTTCAAATTTAATATTGAAATAAAGGTTACTGTGTCTGCTTCTGAGTTGACATGGCAATGTTCATATCACTCTTCAGGCCAATTAATTCACCATTTTTGGTTAGATGCCAAAAGTACTACATTGAAAGAAGTATCTTTGTAATTTAATATACACTACTAAGATTTAAAAGTATAAGAATTCTCCAAGACATTTTTACTTGAGTTACTATTGAATATCATTTTTGTCTACTTCAATTTTATTTAAAATACATTTCATTCTCTCAGTCTTCCAACTCCTTTATCTCTACCCTACCCTCAAATTTGTGTCCCATATAAGTATATATGAATATATATGCATATATATAAGTCCATTTGATGTTCTTCACTTATATGCATACAGAGATGACCAATTAATATTGTCTAAGCTATCTTGGCCCAGCTCATGAGGACTTCTTCTTCCTTTCTCAATAGCTATTAGTTGCTTATTGCTCCTCATCTAGGATTAAGGTGTTGTGGAAGTTTCCCAACACATACCTGGCATGTCAAATTGCATTTGTTATAATCTCCCTTGAAATTCTATGGGTATAATTGCCCTGTCATGGTATAGAGTATGCTACATTGTAGTCAACTTTATAGTCTTCCTGCTTTTACAGTGTTTCTGCACACTTTAGCTCTAATTCTTACATAGACTCCAGCTCTTAGGTTTTCCCCAGTAGTTAAAAGCTTATACTATCGTATATTCTCATTCCCTTGTTCGTTTTTGTACCTGGCCCCATTATAGGATTTGGGATCCACCTCCTCTCTTCTATTTCCCTCTCTTACTCCTTCTATTTGCATTCAGCTGCTGAGGCAAGGATCATTTTTCCTGCACACACCTTGTGTGCACCACAGCAATTCTAATTTGAATAAAATTTGAAATACCTTTTCCTTCTCAAGAAACCCTTCCTTTCTCTACATCCAGTAGTTAAACATCTCAGCACGGGATGCAGATTTCTCCCAGACCCACGTTTAAGTTTCTCCCGTGAGGGGGCAGTAGAGACACATGTGTCATCTTTGAGAGTCCTCTTACAGACTCTAACCCTTGGTTAAGCATCTCCCTGCTTTCTCTTCTCCTGGGGATTATCTTGCTTTAAACCCATCTTAAGGCCAGGAGCCAGCAATCTTCTCACTGCTGGAAAACTTTTGAAAAGGAATTTTTATTTCTTTTCTTCAAGAACTTTAATGTTAGCTCCTTACTCCATCTCCTCCCATTACCTGCCTTCCCCGTATCCCTTCCTATCAAACTATGAAACTACTTCATTTATCGTCACCTGTTTTTGCTTTCTTCATCATCGATTCCAATTTTTGTTTCCCAGTGATCCTTAGGAGTGCGGCCTGCCATGGTTTGTGGTCAGATCGCCATGTTTCAGGTTGTTAAAGGAAACCGATTCCCTTTCTCCCAGCAGCTATCAAATACCTGCATCTCCTCACTTCTCACGCCTTCCAACTTCTGCACTGATAGTTGGTCTGGCATGAGCTTACACAGGTATTACTTATGATGTCATAATCACTGTGAGTTCATATGTGCCTCTGTCACGTAATGCCTGGAAACAGTTTCCTTGATGTTATCGACTACCACTAGCTCTTAAGGTCTTTCTGGTGCCTTTCCCCTAAAAATTCTGAGGTCCCTAGAGCTTGAATGTATCACAAATTCCACATTTAGTGCTGAGAATCCAACAACTTTTGCTCACTGTGCCACAGCCAACTGAGAGGTCGCTGTGTCGATTGCCAGCTACTGCAAGTAGGAGATTCTCTGTCTGTGGGTATGGCCATATCTCACTGTGAATCTTCTAATTCGTTTCCACGTAAAAGAATAACAATAGTTGATCCTTCCTTAAGACCCATGACCTATCTAATCGGAGGTTCTCAGCCCCTTTTACAGTAACAGATGCAGCATGATCTATTTCATGGAGTGGGATATATATATATATATATATATATATACACATACATATATATGAAAAGTAGATGCTTACAACCATAACATACAGAATATACAGGCAAATATTTCACCAATGGGCATATTTGGGTAGGCTTGGCCTTTCTGTAATTTACCAGGATTAGGATTACTTATTTCCTGCAGAAGGTTTCATAGTGATAGACTATATTGATAGTCTCCATAGTAGCAGAAGTCTTCATTTTCCCATATTCAGTGACTGCTATATGCCATTTCTTCAGCATTATATGGTCTGGTTCGACAGTTAAGGACAGTGAACAAAACACTTTTTGAAATGAGTTTTCGAAGTAAGTGTACTGCAGCACAGACTTGCCAAAGTGTCCCTGAGAAATGGATCATACTTTCTAAAGCATGACACATTTGACATCCATATGCAAATGGGCCTTATCTTAAAGCAATGTGATGCACCATGAGGTTTCTGGCATTTAAACCTTTATTTTTCTCTGCTTGTATCTTACTCTCTATAAAACAGACCTCTCTTCTAATCTTTCTCTATAAAAGTCTTCCTAAGTCTTATCCCCCTCATAATTTATTATGCTCTTTTTTATCATAAACACTACTTTTCTGCCAATTTCACAGTGCTTTGTAAAACCTATTACTAACAATCTTCTTAAATGGAAGTATCTCTTTATGCAGTTGACTAAAGAGTACTGTTGCCTTGTGCATGCCTTCTGTCTCATGAAAACCTGTTTGCTAATTAACCACCATGCTCTGACAGACAATTAGACACAGGCTCTCTTTTGTTGTTTAATGAATGTTTCTATGCAAAATAACTCCATTTCTATCTTCCTCCTAATTCAGTACCACCATTGGTCAGCCTTCCTGTTCCATGTAAGTTATTGTCCAGGTCTGTCTCCAGAGACCTCCTAGAAAGAGACCCATTTGCAGTCCCTCCAGCCAAAATTGGATGCTGACATTACAAGTGGAACGATCACAGTTGCAACAGATATAAGCCAATGAAAGGAACCCCATGCTACTCCTACACACAAACACAGCACTGTTGTATATATCTGTAAGTATGCTCATGTCTACTTTGTTTTATAAGGTCTATAAAAATCAGTCTAAGAATATAACAAGCATTACCATCCATCGTTGAAAGCTGGAAAAAATAGACCTTTCAATCTTTGCATTAAAATGCATTAAATTTAATCAAATTTTTTAGTGATTCTACTAATTTCTGGACCTTATTACTGAAATGCTCTTAGGTTCTCTTTTGTCATTTACAGTTGATATACACAGAATCTTTCAACAATGACACTACATATATCTCTATCCCTTTGAATGCCCAGTAATGCCTCAAAATCTGTAAATGTCAAGCCCCTTTGTTCGTTTTTGCTGAAACTAGTATGTGAGGACATTTTTCCACAAAGAGCTACCACTGTAATTCAAGATTTTGGCATAAGATTGTGGTTTGAAGTGCAGAGAGGTTAAGCCCTCAGACTAGTCCAAGGAGAAGGACCACTGTGATTTCTAAAAATGACAGAAAGTGGTTGAGATTTATAGGAAGTTAGACACTGTTTTGGAAATGTTTTTAAATATCAGTTCTCAGGCAGAGTCAGCTGTCCCTCTGATCGTCGTCTGTGTCTCCTCTTGGTAGTATCGTGAATTGATTTCATTTGGATTTCAAATCTGAACACAGACATCCCCAGTTGCTCTATTAGTGCCTGTCTAATCTTCAAGAGAGTCCTGCCAAATCAAATTTTGAGTAAAGCCAGCAAAGTGTCAAAGTCTTTCCACTAACTCAATCCCTACTGAAAGTTTCTTTCCAATAAGCAATGATCAGACACCCTGTCTAGGTGACCGGAGGCACATGTCCTTTTCTAGAGCATCGACCAGATTACAGATGATGGAAGGGCTTTCAAAGCGAGTAGGCAGTCCATTACAACACTCAGGTAACATCCCTTTAAATAGAAATATTGTCCTTACAAAAGTATCCCATGCTTTATGCTCAATTCACTTTCAATCCTTGTAAAACGGGTCTGATCTTATGTAAATTCACTGTATTTGAATTAAATCGATCTAAATGTTACAATGGAATGCTAGCAATTATATATTTGTTCTAGACATACTTATATTGGGCAAATTTTTACATTTCTCTTTCAAGTAGTAAGCGTTTATCATATGATTGAAATCCATATGATTTATTAACTAATTTAAGTAACTTTATATAATCATGTAATTCTTAAAGTCTCTGGATAATGTAGGAGTTATTTATATGCTCCATTGTAAAGACAATATAATGAAGTTAAAATGATTAGATGTAACATACAGCTAATATATTCCACTACTATATTAAGAAAACATGAATGAATCTACAAATCCATGATTTCAACTGTTTTGTTACTTTAAGAAAACATAAACTTTTATGATATTAATCTGTTAATGTGAATGGAAAATTTAAATATTACAACACTGAATGATTCAAAATTGTGTTTCCCTTACAAATTCCTTTATGACCTTTGCCTTGTTTTCCAAGTGGAAGCAATCTGTTCATACTAAAATCTCAATCGCTTACAAATTAATTTTAAATATCCATAAAGAGTACAACAATGCTTTCAGGCTATTGTTTTTACATAATTTTAATGTTTTAAGTTTAAGATATCACAATAAAAATTGTCATGCCAATAAGGCTGATTTTGCATAGTTAAAATGCCAGAAGTTGGTATAATCACATCTACTCTGGCAATATATTGATGTTTTAACAGTGTGTAGGTCTTTCAAAGTCCATTTTGGATTCATTCTATTACCATGTCTTAGTTGTTAATCAAAATATTTCAGAAAATATATGTAAAATCATCTATAATTGAACATTTTCTTCAACCTCGATATGTAAATATAGATTTAATCTACAATTCACTTTGTGGGGTTTAGATCTACCTTCTGTTAATACATGGATTCTATTATTTTTCTTTTACATCTATATGTACATGTTGTATGTTTGTATGTATGTTCCCATGTTTATGGATACACATATGCATTCAGGTTCATGTGACTATGCAGTATTAATGTAGACTTGTGAGCACCTTGATATCAGGAATCTTCCTTGATCACTTTCCATTTTATTCATCAATACAGTCTTTCAATGTAACATAGTATGGAACATAGTCACGCTGGTCAATTTACTCCAGAATTCCCTGTGTCTTTCTTCTTAGTGCTGGAATCACAATTGGGCTGTTCTATGTGGTGATTTTCTAGATTCTGTGGATGTGACTCTGATTTTTCTACTTGCATAGTATGCTGCTACCCACTGAGCCATGTACCAACGTCCACTGGATTCCACTTCTAATGTGTCTTTCCAGTGGTTAAACTTCTATTCACTAGGGGAAATTCAAATCTCTCTTTACATCAAGAAAATACAAAAAGATGTTTCCTCCTCAAGACTTCTTAAACATGTTCAGTGTCATTAATTTAATTGCGAAATTCTTCTACGAGAACACTAAAGTTATTTCCCAGAGAAAATATATTTCATCTCTATAATATTTTTCAGTTGATATTATGTGACTCGCCAGTAATTGATTTTAAACAAACAATATTTATTTTCTTATTGTTTGTACAATGAGATAAAATTAAGTGTCTGGATAGACATGGGTCTGATGGAATCTCTAGATACATATACTTTATGCTTTTTGCAGCTTCTACAGACTGTTTTACAGTCCTTAGCCTCTGATCATTTCACTTCATCTTCAAAACTCATTTTTCCTCATAATGCTATCTTTCTCATTCTCTTTCTTATGTATTTCTGCTTCTATTTTAGAGCACTGTCATTAGAATGGGTCCAGTCTGTTTATCAACCTGTCTTAAAACGCTATAGTAATGAGTAGACGGAATTTCTTTCTTTTTTTTTTTTTTTTGGTTTTTCAAGACAGGGTTTCTCTGTATTGTTTTGGAGGCTGTCCTGGAACTAGCTATGTAGACAAGGCTGGCCTCGAACTCACAGAGATCCGCCTGCCTCTGCCTCCCGAGTGCTGGCATTAAAGGCGTGTGCCACCATCGCACGGCCCGGAATTTCATATAAAATCATTTACTGGGTGAGTGAGAGAGTAGATGGATAAGACATTTTCCACACATAGTTAAGCATTAAAGGAAAACTACTGTTGACAAGTAAAGATTATGTATTGATGTATTGGTCATATCTCTTATAAAAGGCAAAAATGTTGCTGCGTGTTGATAACCTTAATGCTCAACAAATTGAAGAGGGGAGCTTGTAGTTGAGGTAGTCACCCTCAAAATTAATAAATAAATTGGTAAGAGAATGTATACTTAAACCCAATATGTGTACTCAGCCAAGAATGTAATAATCCCTTCAGGTGTTATCCTTTGCCATCTCTATGACTTGTCTGTATTGTTAGCATTTTTAACAGAACCCTGTGTAATACAAATGTAAACACGGATGTATTTTAATGGTGTTTAGAGAAGGGCTGTCATCTTGTACTAAAATCAGAACAAAAGTTTATGGAGAGTCAACTAATACATTGTTGACATTTCTCAAACATGAAAATAATGCCTCTGATATCCAGAAGAAGCCAGACAAGAGCAGGTTGTCACAAAAGACAGAAAACACAGAATTAAACAGAAAACAAAAAAATTCTGGCAAAAATGAGGATAAAAATTCATTTCCAGAAAACAGAAACATCATGTCAGATATGTGAAAGCTGTAATTAAGATCTGAATAAAATAGCAAAGTATACAATATAAGAAAATAAATATGTCACAGCATATCACAGTAAGTTAGTTTAACCAATGGGAGAGAAAAGGTTTTTTTCCCAAGATTCCTTGTCATTAACTATTTAGAGATAGAATCTTATGCACATAAACATCTTTTAAAACAAGGAAAGATAGGAAAGGCATCAGCTCTTCCAGACCCCATCCTCAGGTGACCCCAGCTTCAGGTGTGCCTGTGTCTCCAGGGAGCCACTGCCCATACCCTGCCCATCACCCATTCCCTGGGTCTTCTGGGGGCTGCTCCTTGCATCCAGAAAACCCGCCCACACAGGATAGGCATCAGCCCTTCCAGGCACCAAACTCTGGCAAGAATGTCAGGGGCATCACCATACCTAAATTCAAGCTCTATTATAGAGTTATAGTCCTGAAAACAGCTTGGTATTGGCACAAAAATAGACAGGTAGAACAATGTACCCAAATTGAAAACCATGATTTTAACCCACACACCTATGAACAATTGATTTTTGACAAAGAAGCTAAAACTATACAATGGAAAAAATAAAGCATCTTCAACAAATTGTGCTGGCATAACTGAATATTGTTTTGCAGGAGACTGCAGAAAGATCCATGACTATTGCCTTGTACAAAACTTAAGTCCAAATGGATTAAAGATCACAACATAAATCCAACCACATTGAAACTCTTAGAAGAGAAAGTGAGAGATACTCTTTAACAAGTTGGTACAGGAGACCACTTCCTGCAGATAATACCAGTGGCACAGTAACTGAGATCAACTATTAATAAATGGTACCTCCTGAAACTAAGATGCTTCTGTAAGGCAAAGGACACAGTCAACAACACAAAAAGGCAGTCCACAGAATGGGAAAAGATATTCACTAACCCCATATCTTACAGAGGGCTAATCTCCAAAATTTACAAAAACTCAAGAAGCAAGTCTCCAAAACACCAAAGAATCCAATTAAAAGGTGGGGTACAGAACTAAATAGAGAATTCTCAATAGAGGAGGCTAAAATGGCCAAGAGACACTTAAGAAAGTGCTCAACATCCTTAGCTATTAGGTAAATGCAAATCAAAATAGCTTTGAGACACCATCTTACTCCTGTTAGAATGGCTAAAATCAAAAATCACGAAGACAATTTATGCTGGAGAGGATGTGGAGAGAGGGGAACACTCCTCCACTGCTGGTGGGAATGCCAACTCATAAAGCCACTTTAGAAATAAGTATGGAGATTCCTTAGGAAAATGGGAATCAATCTACCACAAGACCCAGCAATTCCACTCTTACACATATATCCAAAAGAGGCAAATTCATACAACAAGGACATCTGT